AGTCGCGCTTTAAGACTGTCACCAGACTAGGCAAATGGAGAACAATAGGCCGTAGTTTAGAGGCACGGGAATGCATTTTAATTACGCACAGCGACATAACTTTTGGTTAATTACGCCGCACTGTGACCGCGCCTCCGCTCGAGCCATTAGAATGCCGAGGTTTATGCGCGTACAAAGTGGCTCGAAGTGGCTCGAAGTGGCTCAAAGTGGTCCAAAGTGGAGCAGTGACAGCTGCCGCCTTAACTCATTGATTGGACATTGTTTGGCTCTGCATTAATCCCGCTAATAACTCATGTGATACAGCTTTGTTAGCTCCCCTCACTCTCTCTCTCTCTCTCTATCTCTTTCTCTTTCTCCCTCTCAATCTCCCTTTCTACTCAGACATTCCCCAGTTAACCTGCACAATGCTGCGAAATCCGTATAGAGCAACAAAGCGCTTTGCCATAATAGTGCCCAAAATCAATTCACAATAATTGATCATAATTCGGTAGCCGACCGCTAATTGGACGCTTTACAATACAACGAAATTGAACACGCTCCGACCCCAAACAATAAACAAATTTAACAAAATATTAACACGAATTTATCAAATGCAAATCGACAAAAGGAGAAATTCCAGAATTCAAATTCAAAGATGAGTAAAACCAATAGACGCCTTAACGCTTGACAAAGTGTCAGCTTTTATTTGTGCTTTAAGCCTTATTATTGACTTACAGATTGGTTTTCCCCTGCCTATGGACAGTGCGCAATCTAAAGGCTTATTGGATCAAAACTAAATTGTATTTATGAAATGTGTGGATGGTTGGAGTGAGCGTAGCTCTGCCAGCATCAGCTTACAATTGGCATCCATTGAAGTTGAGTAAATGGAAATACAAAATTGAATTTCGAACTTCGGTAGATATACATAGCGATGAAGATGAGAATTGATCCTGAGATCATTCTAGATATATAGATTCCACTAGATATAAATATAGTTCTTGGGCAGACAGGTTTACGATATTAAATAATGTATAAAGATCGTTCTACATAGATATATTTGGATATGGATAAGATCAGAATAATATATAAATGGTTTTTTCTTATATAGTTCTACTTAGTCACATAATGATATTATTAATATAGTATATAATACAACTAATAGTATTAAGATCTTCATCAAATTACTAAACCAAACCAGACTCAATGATCAAGTCGAAAGTCAAAGTCCGTGTGTTGCTGCTCATAAAGTTGTTGTTATTGCTGTCGCTGCTATTCTTAATTAAGCCTACGGGAATGCATAGAATGTCTTTGGCTTTGGGGCACTATCAACACCTCATTACTCTTTTGATCACACTCCTCGTTAATGAAGATGTCAGGCAGCTGCTGCCGTTGATGTTGCTGTTGCTGTTGCTATTGCTGCTGCTGCTGCGGCACAGTGAAACACAAGACGCACAAAACAAAACCAATTTGAATTCAAAATCCAAAATCAATGCTTAGCATTCCATTTTTGTGGTGGCTGTTTGTAGCGACCAAAGCGACAAAGATTAAATATATAACTCTTCTTTTGGTCGACCGCTTAGGCCTTTCGCGTCGGCCAGGCCGCACTCCAGATACCCTACGCTCGCCTGCATGGCCAGCTGCTCCAGCGTGCCGAGTGGCCCGCCGCGTGCAGCGTAGCTGGGCTCAGAAACCTGTATCTGCATAAAGTTATAAACAAAGAAAACAAATTTGTCTTATCGCCCGATTCCTAATGAGATGACAACGAGACAAAATCACTCGGTCGCAACGCGTTGAAAGCGCGAGCTCATTTAAGGAGCGGACAAATACAAATGCACACATTTTAATCACTTTGCTCATTAACAACGGCAGTTCGAGAAACCTTTCAAAGGGGCGAGCGTCTCTCAGTATGCCTACCATTGTTGCAGTTACAAAGGTTTTGCCTACAACTGTTCGAGCTGCCCACGCCTTGGCACCAAAAGCCTCACAGCTTCCGAGCTAATGTGGAAAATATGCAGATGCGCCAAAATTACAGATCTTTTAATTTCCAAATCCATTAAAATGAAATTTTTCATTTTATTCGAAATACACACACACGTACATAGGCATTGAAGTTTTCAATTTGGCAAGCATTCTATGCGCTTCGAGTGTTTCGCAAGGTAAACAGTCTAGGCAGGTGAGGTAGGTGACTGTTGTCCCTGCTTTGTGGCAAGGGCTGTGGATCGGCAACAATGTTGTCGTATTAGTTAACGTAACTAAGTTTAGTTATTGCGCGTGTTGCGATTTCGTGCTTTTATGGTCCATTTAAGACTATGAGATGGAAATGTTGTGTCGGCGTTGCCAACAGATTTATCACCGGGCCCCTGACCGGGTGGTGCTGGCCGCGAGTCTCGGACCCAAGCCTCAAATCAAGCGCCACTGGGCCAGAGGGGAGCGCGCAGGCAGTCGCACTAGAGCCTGGCTAAAGTTCATCGATTTCAGCCAACCCAAACGATAAAAACTGTGCGCAGTGATCAACAGAAGAATGGCAAAAAGATCTCGCAACATTGTTGCAAGCGCTGAGCAATTTTACTGTAAAAACACAACAGACAACCACATCCTGAAATTTAGCCAACTGTCCAGCTTTAGCTCCAACTTCAGCTCCAACTCCAGCTTCGGTGACTGTGACTGCAACGCCGATCGTAAAAATGTTTGACTGCGATTATATGGCGCTCATGAGAGCGCCACTTTGTCAGGGCCCGGAGCTCAGATGTTGATGGACTGGGCTCGATCAGCCCAGGGGCGTGCTAGGACTGGACTCTCGCCAAAAGGGGGGTTGCCACAAAGCATGAAACGAGCCACGGCCAGGCAACAAATTGGAAAACAACAAACGTACAACAGATTGTCTGGTGATATATACATACATAAACACATACACACCCATGCAGCATAAATGCATGCACACACACACACTCACACACACACAGGTGTGTGTATTATTTAGGTATAATTTATGGAGCGAGAGGTGAAAATATTTTCAATAGAAGGTGATTTAAATTTATTAAAGGAATGCTTACGAGCAGCCACAGAGCACTAAATTAGAATAAGTCCGATTCGAAGGGGCCGAGAGGGGCGGGGCATGACTGGCTCATAAAAACTCAAGCAAATTGAATCAGTGTGTGTATGTTAGTGTGTGTATGTTAGTGTGTGTGTGTGAGTGTGTGTGACTGAGCACACGCTTGCACAGATCACAGATTGAGCGAGCATCTGAATTGGGTCCATCGAGAGACGCCTCATCAGCATTTGCATCTAAGTATCGACAACGAGGCAAAGCGGCCTCTTATCAGATTGAGAAATGCGTATATACGAGTGCACAACATACTCAGCGCGCGACTCCTCATTTAAATCTCGGCCAGAGAGCCAGAACGAGCCTAAAAAACCTAACCAGCCAAAGCCGCAGTCGCGGCCGCAGCCGCAGTCGCAGCCAAAGCCGCAGTCGCAGCCGCAGCCTCTGCCGCAGTCGCAATGCTTGTGATCCGAACGCGCCGAGTTCGCCTTTTGTTAACACCATAATTTACATTGATTTATGTGCTTAGTTGACTCTGCATTTTTAATCGGTTAGCCCGGGCATCGTCACCGTCGCCATCACCAGCTCGAAGCAGCCCCAGCTCCTGCCCCAACTCTTCGGTTGCCTGTGTTGCCTATGTGTGTGTGTGTGTGTTTGTGTATGCGGCTTCATTTGGTTATAATTAAAATGTCGGTGTTATCAACCCGATTTGGACATATTGGCCATTACACTCGAAATTTAAGCGATTTCTATGCGCGTATTTTGATTTTGATTTCGATTTCATTTGCCGTCTCTTTCTCCAACTCGTGCGCCGTTCCATTCCGCTTGGCTATCTGTTTCTGTTTATGTCTCTATTTCATTCGCTCTGTCGGCGACACAATGAATATTGATTAAATTAATATTTAATAACGTTTTAAGAAGCTTTCGAGTGTTAAATGTTTATTTATGCTCATTGGCTGTGCTCTCTGTAGCTGTCATATATATCGTACCCCGACCCGCTCGGCCCATTCGTGTCGCTGATTATTTTGGATTGTTTGGAATTGTGTGTGCTTAGAACAAAAAACTTGTATGCATACATACATATCGATTTTAGGTTTTCCTTCTCCTTGTATTGAAAATGTATATATGTATGTATTTAGAGAATTTTTTGATAGAGTAATGAAAACAAAAACTTGTTTATTAAACCAAAACGCTGTAACTTACATATTTATAGCCACGAATATATGCTAAAAATGTACATATATACATAGCTTCTGGTTCTGTAATAAATCAGAATAAATATTATTATATTACAGCTGATATATGCTGAAATATTCCAGCAGGAATATGCCATCATATATCACTTATAATCTTATGCCCAAAGCTTTCCATTATACCAACTCATTTCTCATGTTAAATACCTAAGTATAGATATCAAAACATCTAGTCATTTTAGTAAACCAGCTCAATGGAGATAAAGAACACAATTATATGTAATTTTTTCAACAGTTTATTATTGCGTCTCTGCTGAGAGAGACGTTATATATAATTAAATTGAGACATCGCACACATGTGACGACAACTTAAGCTAAGTTTACGCTATATCGGAGTGTATCAATATCAGTTCGAACGCAACCAAATACTAATACATACATAGCTGCCTATATACAATAGTAGTAGCGCCTATATAGACATTGACAGTCACGCGCCACGCACACATACATATGTACATGTATATGTATAGTTATCTGAGCATACATGGCTAAGCTTAAGCCTAGGCTAGGGCTAAGTTACAGATAAATATTGCATACGCTATAGCCTTAAATGGTGATGAGGTAAGCCGGGCAGCAGCTACGGGCGACCTACGGCCGGCAATGGATGACAGAAAAAAAACAAAACATATAAATAAAATTGTATTCGTCGTCGAGTGCCGGAATAGGGGGGAAGGAAAGAGAGGTGAGTGAACAATGTGGAGCAAGTAGTGCAAACTAGTAGTAAGTATTAGTTACAATTTGAGTTTAATTTTAGGCATGTCCACACACACACACACACACACACGCACACTCACGAGTAATTGCAGCATGTTGCAATTACATGTTGCAGCTTGCCGCACAACTTAATACAGCTCGCTGCTGCAGCCCGATCCGCAACCAAGTGGGTGAGCAGCATTTTAACTTTGGTTTTCGATTTGTTTTGCCAGCGTCGCCGAGTCTCATGTTACAGAGCGCAACACGAATGTCACCGCCCCCGCTTGTTCGCTGAGCGGGCGGTGGGCAGGGTATGGATGGAGAGGGTGGAGCGGGGCAGGGATGTGGGCTGGTGGGGGAGGCTGCCTGGCTGTCGCTGTCAATCACAAGCGCGCACACAACTCAAGTTTTCAATTAGAAGCTCTCTCTCTCTCGCTCTCGCTCTCCTCTGTCTCTGTCTCTGTCTTTGTCTCCTACCGGTCATGCTTTAGAAGCTGCATCGTGGTGGGTGCATCGGAGGATGACAGTCGGCCCACCTTTGCCACTGGCGACTCCATTTCAGCATCGGAGTCGTCGTGCACATTGATTTCCTCATCAGAGTCTGACGACGAATTGTCCACGGTGACCGTCGCACCTGCCCCAGCCGCCGTTGCGCACTCTCCGGCATAATGGAGGCGCGAGCGTTGCTCCTCCGCCACGGTCAGGGAGGCGGCAACGGCATACTGACGTGCCAGGCCCAGAGCAAAGGCCGCCGCCGAGGGCGAGCCCACCAGACTGCGGAAGGCACTGCGCTCTCCGCCCATGGACAGACTGGACGTTGGACTGCCACAGACGCCGCCCGATGTGGGCGAATGTTGTTGTTGTTGCTGCTGCTGCTGCTGCTGTTGTTGTTGTTGCTGCTGCTGCTGGTGATAGTGGTTGAAGAGCTGCAGCGCCGCTGGATGCGCGGGCAAGTGATGATGGTGTCCAGGTGGTCCCGGCGGAAGCGCATGCAGCGGATGCATCATAACTGATGGCGGCGACTGCGCCGTCGCCAGCGGCGAGTCCGCACACAGCACCGATGGATGGGCATGCGGGGTGGTCGGCGCTGAGGCGTTGCTGTGGCAGCTCGGCGTGGGAGAACTGTTGGCTGGCCCATCGTTCGACTGCTGCGAGTGTATGGGATTGGCGGGACTGGAGCGCTGACGCTTGAGCAGATTCATGCGCTGATGGCGACGCCATTTCGCACGACGATTCGAGAACCAAACCTGCAAGGAGAGGAAGCAAAGGAGACGCGACGATGGTTACGCTTGCCTCTTGGGGGCACCTGCAATGCTTTCACTTACCTGCACCCGCGCTTCGCTGAGGCTGGTGCGGCTGGAGAGTCGCTCACGCGTGCTCACGCACGGATAGTGGCTCTTGTCGAACTCCTTCTCCAGCTCCTCCAACTGCTCGGGACTGAACGTGGTGCGATTGCGCCGAAACTTGGGCTCATCATCGTCGTCCAGGTAATCGGAGTCGATCTGTCGATTCTCATCCGCCGACTCCAATGTTTCGTGGCTGCCAGAGCCCGGCGAGATGGCGCGATTCAGAGGCGCGCCCGCACCGCCAGCTGCGCTGCCCATCAGATTCGCCGAGCTCAAACTGAGACTGCCAGACGTAACGCTGCCCGCACTGGGTGGCAGATTGGCCAGCGTCGGCGCTGCCACGGACCAGAGCGCGGAGGGTGGCGGCGGCACCGGTGAGCCGCCGGGCACATTGCCCGGATGCCAGGTGAAGCTGCCATACGGATGCGGCGGCGGCGGATACAGGCCATAGGCAGCCGTGCGCGCAAACTCGCTGGCCACACGCTCAGCGGCGCGATTGCGCAGGATGCGATTGATGCTGCTCACCGAGGGGGCCGTTGCGTTCGTGCAAACACCTGCAAGGCGAGAGGGCACAATTAGTGGACAGCAGCAGCAGCAGCAGCAGCAGAGCAGAAGCGGATGTGCAGCTCAAAAGCTGCCGCCGCCGCTGCTGATCGATGATCACAGTGGATGCAGATTATCCGCGTGGGTCTGGATGGCTTGATTTGAGCAGCAGCAATTACCGCCAGCCGGTCGACTTACCTTCAGAGATTAAGCGCTCGCGTATCTCCCAGGCGAAGATCGTTGGATTCTCGCGCTTGTATTGTTCGATTTTGGAGACGACCGTTGGCGTAGCCACTTTTGGCTTGGAGCCACCAATTAGGCCAGGTGGACGCAGGGAGCCTGTGTGCAAGCGAGACAATCGTTAGAGATAATGTGTGTGTGTGAGAGAGAGAGAGAGAGAGGGGAAATGAGTTATGGATTATGTTTGGGGGTAATCGAGGATGCAACCCACAATCGTCAGTTCGCTTTCGTTTACGGTAGTTAGCGAGCTGCCCCGACTTATCGCGCTCACTTAATAGCTTTATCGGAGAACAACATCAGCGACGCTGCACCCCATACACAACGCGATCCCGTTGCTCCCTTCTGCGCGTCGATTAGGGCAGCGTTTTTTGATTAATGAGCCGCGGCTCGAGTCGTTCGAGGCGTTTATGCAATTTTAAGTGCCCAAATTACGCATGCCTCAGCAGGCAGCAGGGAGCAGGAGCAGGAGCAGGCAGAAGGCAGAAGGCGTAGCCAGACAGGGGCACCGGCCAAGGATAATAACATTATAAATAATTGTGTTTATCAATAAAATTGGCAAACAAATCGAATACAAAATATTTCAACTGATTGTGCGCGTAGCTGGAAGGAGGCGGAAGAGGAGGTGGAGGAGGAGAGAGGGCTGAGTTGTGGAATGTACTTACCCAACAGCTTGGAGACAGCGCCCTGTTGTGTGAGCATGTGCTGGGCAATGTCGTAGCCGCGCAGGCCGCCAAAGCGCGAGAACTCCAAGAGGCGATGCTGCGACATCAAAGCGCCGAGCGTGCTGCCAGTTGCTGCTGCTGCGGCGGCAGCGGCGGCTGCTGTTGCCGCCGTTGGCCCACCGCCGCTGCCAGCAACGAAACCAGGTGGTATTTGCACAGTTGTTGGGGCTGTTGTTGTCGTTGCGGCTGTTGGTGAAGCCGACGCCACTGCAATTGAACGAATTGAATGATAATTGGCCATTGTTATCATTATGCCTTTAGGAGTGGATGCTGTTGTTGTTGTTGTTATGTTTTTAGTTATTGCTGTTGCTGCTGCTGCTGTTGTTGTTATGCTTTGCTGTTGGCACTGTCAGCCACAATGGTTAATTATGATAAATTAACGGTTAATTGTGTTGACGTTGACTAAACTGAGCCAAAGCCGCCGAGCAACTGCTGCTGACAGCAGCAGCAATGGCGTTGCTCAATTGTCAATGGCGAAAGCAAATACTTGTTTATTTTGTATTTTAGAAAGAAACTAATATTTGTATGAAGCACAACTTTAATAACACTCAACAGATTTAACTCTGTTTCTGGACATAATTTAACGCCATAAAAACCAAATTAAAATTAAAATTAAAATATTTAATCAGCTGTCGCAGAACCTGTGCAGCTTTTGTTGGATTTAAGGAACACATATTATATATAGTATTGGCACTAATAAATATTGTTTTTTTTTTTCGTTTCGCATTTATTCCTAATGTCTTGCTCGTGCGCCGTGCAGAGCCCCTTAGCTCCCCCTTAGCGCCAACTTTTCGTATTTCGGTATTTCCCTCCAATTGTCAATTAGCGACAAAAACACAAATAAACGAAAAATATACGTTTAAGCTGCGTTTGCTCATCGAAAACAATTCATTATAATGTCAAAATATTTTTACATATTTATAAACGAAATATGTATTTAACGAGGCTAACGTAATGAATGAATTTTCTGGGGAACTGCAAATGAAATAGAATCTAGAATGAATCTATAAAAACAACTGAAGGCTAAGACTTTGGCCAAGAGTTAAACTTAATCCTAAACTTATTCCTAATGAGCCCTAAAATATGAAAATGTCCTTTAGCAATTGGCCATTCATTTGCGGCTATTTGTAAACCGCCGTCGGCATTTGTTGGTTGTTGAATTGTGCCCAAATCTTACCACTGGATGGGTGCGGTGCCAGCGATGACAGTCGTTGGGGATGTGGCTCCATTTTCCAGTGTGCAGCCGCAATGCTAGAACCTGCAGCAGTTAGCGAGCCAAAGTCACGGTTCAAGCTCGGCTCTATCAACATGTCAGCAGCGTTTGGTCGCCTAGCTATAAATTCGATTCGTTTAGCTTGAAAACAGTTGTGGGCTTTACAGTTTCGAGAGTTTTCACAACACAGCACTAAGTGAGTGACACAGTTACGGCCACTGTGATAGTCACAGACGCGTCGCAATTATTGATTGTGGAGCAGTCACATACACGCAAATCTCTGGGCATGGAGACAGTCTCGGTGGCAAACGGAAACACAATGCGGCCAATTAAATTCATAACGTGCTCCTCACTGCACCCGCGTACATCGCCCAGCCGAATTGATGGGTTCAATATGAGTTTTGGTTATTGTTGTCGACGTTGTTCCGTTTGAACGTTGTTCACGTGAAAGCTGCTCTCAGCACACTGAGTGGCAGCCGCAAGTGGCTTGAATTTCACCTGGAACTGGCTGCCGCTGCCGCTGCTGCTGCGACTGCTGCTGCTGCTGCTGTCGGCCTCTCCACTCAGTTGGCGTTTCACTCAGCAGCATTGAGTGCTTTTGGCATGCCAACCGGTTTTTCAACTTCGGCGCACATTCATAATGGCGGCCGTTGTCTGATGAGCCGCGAGCGTGCGAGCGAGACAACAGTATGGTGTGCAGCTAGCGCACACAGTTCAAGCAATTACATGCCTCTCCCCCTCACACTCAATAACTGGACGAAACGGAGCGCGCCAAGTAGGCAGTGGCCAACGCGCTCATGACTGCGTCCAAGCGTATAAACAACCAGCCTCAGGAAAAGGAAGGCAACCTCCGTCCGCCTGTGCAAGGGGAAGTGCAATTTATTTATGATAAGGCCTTGCTTATGTTCAAAGTGCACTAAACTAGTGTCATGGAGTATCTGCAAGAACTAGTGCACATTTAACTACGTACTCCAAAAGTTTCAGCTGCACTGCCTACAGACATTACAACTAATTCGATTTTCTATATGTCTGTAGCTGACAATCATTTGAAAATAATAGATACAATTTTCCTTTTGCTAAAGCCCTCAATTGATATGTAACAATTATAGTAGTTTATTATTGTTTACCTTTTACTTACAGAAATTATTATACCATTTATATATATTATAAAATGTTACTTATGTAAACGAGGATTGAATGTATAATATTGACTTCCTAATAGGAGCAAATAACACTTAGATTATTTGCGGTACTAACTAGTTTGCTCTATTAAAATGTGAATATGTAGTTTTTTTTTAAACAATAAATAATTTTTATTTAATTTCAACACCTTCATAAAAGTTAAAACAGAAAAAATATCAAATATTCAAAGCAATTCTGATATTTATTTAGATCCAGCTACTTAAATAATAGTTGTATTTTTAATTTCATAATTCATTAATTAAGTTTTCATTCATATATTTATTTATTTATTTTATTTATTTATTATATACTTATTTATTGTATACTTTTTGCAACGGAAAGTTGCATCTTAAGAAATTGTCTAGATATAAAGTCGATTTAAAGTATAGCTAAGGACACAAAGAAGAAAATGAAAAGTACTTTGAAAGGATAACAAATATTTTAAATTGTTTTTTCTTTTTCAGGAATAAAAAAAAAAAAAACATTATACCCTAACTTCTCATGGACAATGGCTTCAGGGTATCAAAATAAATTCGAAACGAAAGCGGAGGAACATCTACTATAGATTTGCATCAAAAAAAAAAAAAAAAAAAAAAAAAAAAAAAAAAAAAAATACAATGCAACAATATAGCATATAAAAGATAAAACCTTGCCTTCAATTTACTTTTATTTTTCCTCTTTTTTTTTTTTTTGATATACCTCTGCAAAAGTTCAATAAACAAAGAGATAAATTTATAAAGTTCTTTTACCTGATGTGAATTTGCGTGATTGACAACTCATAAGCAACTTTGATGAGCTGACTCACATACACACGCACACACACACACGAACAGAGAAATAAGCACACACATACATATATCTATCTATACAGGCATCGAAGTTGCACAGATTTGTGTGTTTCCTTGGCGTTTTGTGGTTTTTTGGTGTGCGTGCTGAATGATTGATGCGCTGCCTGGGCAAGCCGACTCAAAGCTGCATTGGAACTGCAACTAAGCTACACTTGGCGTGATGTTCAAGCCACACAGAATGCCCGTTGGGGGCAATGGCAGTGGCAGTAGCAACAGTGGTGCCTACACAGAAGCCAAATTGCATCGATACCTGTGAATTGAGAATTGGCTAGCTGCCGGCGTAATTCGAACTCGAGTCGAGCTAAAAAGCAATTACCAGTTGCCTACCTGTCTTCCATAGAACATAAATCTGCACAGTTAAAGATCGGCAAATGCTTTAAATAATGTACCAAATGGCTAACAAGTTCTCTTGCTAACGGTTAACCAATAATATGAGCTACACACACACACACACTCACACTTATATATGTATGTGCATATTAATGTATTTTGTACATACATACATTGAATTGTGAAAGGCAAATCATGAATGAACTGACGACGATGAAAGCTGACGATGACGCTCGAGTGCTTTTATGGCAGAGATCCAGAGCAAACGCAAACAATCGAACAGGAATAATTTACTATGTAAATAAGACGTGAGTCGAAGCTGGAGCTGGAGTTGTAGTTGGTATCGGAGTCGGGCTGGAGGCTGGAGTCGGGGCTCGAGAGTAGCGTGCGCCCTCGCGCCATCGAGTGGCACTTCAACAATCAAGCATTCACACAAGCAGATGGTTCGCAGCCGCCAGCGACCACCTAAACGAAATTTCATTTACTTTTCGCCTGTCATCACGGCGCAATCGCAATCGCTGCTGTTGCTGCTGACTCGCCCGAATGTAGATATCTATATAGATAGGTACATATAATAAAATGTATCTCTCTAGATATATATGTGTATGTGTGTGTGCATATGCACAACGAACACTCGCTTTATTGAGTGTTTGTTTACCTAATTCGATTACCGATCGCGTCCGTTCGCCATAATCCACAAAACACTTGACCATTTGGGTGGCACATATATGAAAACACACACATCTATACATACAATATGCAGATCGTCGTGCTTCTCGAGCAAGCAATCATTGCCGAGTAATAAGGTTGCTGACTTAATTCAAGCGCTCGAAAGTGGATGCCTTCCACTGGAAGGGCGTGCATGGCATGCAGATGGAGGGATTCCTCTTGTATCTTAATGCAATTAAACGGAAAATTAAAACAGCTGTGCATCTCGGTATTTTTATAAATTATTCATCAACAAGCTTTTGTGCTGGCTCCAAAGCAATTATCATTAAACTGAAGGCGCAGTTCTCAATTCAAAATTCAATTTGCATCAATTTCACTCTTACTTTTCTTGAAAGCAGCTTAAATAGCAAGATAATAAAAAGTTGATCACGGTAGCTAAAACCATAGCGGGATTCATTTAATTTAATTATGTCTATAAGACAATAAAAGATGTACATGTAGTAGAAGCTCTTAAAGTATATCTCAGTTTCTAATCTTAGTAAAAAACTTTTTTCAGCATTTTTTACCTACTTCATATAATAGCGCATTTCAGCTCCCTTTTAATTTAAAATTACTTCATTCATCATTATACACTGCACCTGCTACAAAACACCTGTTTGTATATAATTAAGTCCATTCATTTTCAATTTCAAATGGGCGCCAGATTACATTCACGCTCACATCCCTAAAAGTGAACGAAACTATCGTTTAACATAAACATCGATAGCATTGTCTGACATGACAATCACAAAACAATAATATCGATAGTCGAATACCATCAACATTAGAGTCAGCCCAAAACTGCTAAAAAATTTTGTATTGCTGGAAAAACTAATTATATATAATGCGCACAGTGCTTTTGAGCAAATCCGATGAGCTCTATCTGGAAAAGTGCGCTCAAGAGCACAGTTTCTCCTACGGAATTATCATTGGTCACGTAAGTACAAGAATGCGCTTGCTGCTCTGGCCGTCGCCACGTAGGTTTATTTTGTTGACTGCATGCATTTATATACATATGTTTGTCTGACCGCTCCCTAATTTGCAGCAAGCAGATGTCAGCAAGAGCATTGTTGTTCACCTGGCCCGCAACAGCGAGGAAGATGCCGACCTGGAAGATTTGACCGACGTGCGATTAACCATACGCGACATCAACTCACAGGCCCTGGCGTCCCAATGGCTTAGCGCCAGTAAAATGTGTCCCGGATCCTTCGACGTCATAGGTATGCAGTGGTGTTATTATCTATAATATATTCAATTAATCGTATATATATATATATCAATTTCAGGCATATTCATCGCTTCCGTGCGTCCGGATGTGGCGAATGAGCGTAGCGAGGAGTTTAAAAATGCCAAAAAAGTTTTTTCTGATGTCTATGAGTGAGTGCCTGGACTAACTAAATAAAAGTCTATTTTAATGTAAATCTCTCTCTTCGCATCCCTTCAGCTTGTTACTGAAGACCAACAACTCCTTTGGAGTCTACACCACAGACATGGCACAAACGGACTTTGTATTCCTTTCCTACTCTTTGGCTGACAAAACTCTGCTCTGCAAAAACTATACCTATGGAAAGTAAGTGAGAATATCAATCCATATCTATGGATCTGTATGTATATATAGAGATCTAATCGGGTTAGGTTGTCACTGAACTTCCACTGTTGACTTATGTATCTTTTCTTTATCAATTATCTTGTTGGCCACCCGCTTAACATAGACATTGCAAAAAAACGTATTTTACGGCAAACATTAAATGCATTATATGGTAAATAACAAATGTTGAAACTCAAGTACTTACACAACTCATTTGAATGTTTTTTTCGGCCATTTTGGCCTATATTTTTCGTATATATATTAATTAGTTTTGGTAGCTGTACGAGTTTTTTATGGATTGCATTTTACGTGTTTCGGTTTATCTCTAAATACATATGTATGTTGTATATTTGTAGAGCTTTGCGCGTAGTGCCTTGAACTACTTTATTAATATATTCAAATATTTCTGCTCCCCCTCTAGCGGCGGCACATTTTCGAACATGGACTTTCGCTTTGTTGAGAAACCGTTCGAGTGGATTCAGTTTGAGTGCAATTACGACTTGGATGATGTCATACCGATTCTGGATACCACGAGGCGCATTAACATTGAAGAACAGTTTCAAAACATTATATCGACGATTCGCAAATATCTGATCGCTAGCGAGGTATTTCTGCAGAACGAACTGATCGACGACACAATGGACTTGCAGACGTTCATCAAAAAGAAAAAACTGAAGGATGATAAGCTTAAGACAAGTTCGACCACTTCAGCAGGAGGAGCAGCCAACCCATCGGCTTCTTCGGCTGCATCTTCAATGCATTTACTATCGCCCATTGAGAGTTCGAATGGTGGCGTCATCAGGGCCAATATCATAATGCCCGTCAAGTGTCAGCTGGACGATC